ATATGTGGACTTTAGTTAATCAATAAAAGAAATGACGAAAGCTCAGTTTTATTTCTTCATTGGTTAAACTACAAAATATTGCGCGAAGTTCACTGAACATTAATTGCATTTAATAAATAATAATACAAATAGGCTGCTCTTTTCCTACATCTGATGTGCCATTTGACCCTATAAGTGTAATGAACAGCAGTAAGAGTCTTGGCACCACGAGTGGGCCCGAGGGGGCCTGACCTGGCCACTTCGGTACCTGCACCCCCTCACCTTGCCGATTCATGGAACATGGTTTCTATCAAGGCCCACTCTAGAAACTCAAATGCCCCTCCAGTTTGTGTGGGCTGGCGTAGACTGAGCGGTAAATTAAATGAGTAAAAGTACTTGTACTTACGTGAGTACGCGATTGAAGCTTCATTTGTAAAATCTTCTGGTAGAATGTTGCATTCTGGCTCAAGTAAAACATTTCTCTGAATAATGTCTTATATATTCCTACTGTCATTGTGTCTCGAAACACTGTCATGTCTTGACTTTACTGTAAGAGCAGGACAAAAACACAGACATCCTCATTCTGACCTACAGACAAAAAAGGGAAAGAGAGAGAACTGAAAACAGCTGAATACAGTCTGGATTTTCCATGAATTGCTGTTCAGATTTTGCTTGATATTAACACCAACATATAGAAAAACAGTTACTGAAGAGACTAGATGGATATAGATACCTACATTAAGGTTTTTGGTTGTCATATCTGGGCTCAATCCAGAAAGATCTTTCTCATAGTTCCTCTCACTCTTCTTCATCCTGACAGACTGAACAAATGCTGTGAAGAGACTGTAATATTCCCTGGCAACCTGATGGGTGGAGAGACTTTGACTTGTTACTTGTCAGACCTAATGAGCGAGTAAATGTTTAGTAAGTGGGCAGATCACGTGTTCAGCAAGAAACAAATCATAGTGGTTCCTGTTCCCAGGGTCTCTAAAATGAACAAAATAATAATAGCATCACACACAGACAGACAAACATATTGATCTCTGTATACATGGCTATTTAAACACTCAAGTTTTCTGAATTATGTCTGACACCTTCCTGCTATCTTTCTGACTTTATTATCATCAAGAGAACGACATGAATGCAAATTTTACATCATTCATGAACCGCAGAGAAACTGAAACACACAGAAGAAAAACATACTGTACATTGGATCTCATAAGCATATCAGCATATTTGAATACCTTGAAAAAGACTAATGATGGATGCATTCCAAACGCTTTTTTTGTGAAGCTTCAAAACCTTTGCACGTCATTTTTGGAACCAGTGATTCAGAGCTTGCATCAAACTGCCAGTGTCACATTATTTAAGTAAATGAGGCTTTGTTATAATATATATCGATGCAACTTTTTACAACTTGTGAATCCAACTGTTACAAGTATAATATAAAAACCAAACAAGTCCTGCTTACAAAATATGTGTGTGCAATGTTACCTAGTTACCAGTGTGTCCACTAATATTATGTGGGAGAAAAATAACTTTCAGGGAATTTGGAAAACGCTAGATAAAGACCTCGGGTAGAAAGATGTATGTGAATGCATTACTTGTTTTAATGGAGAACAAATGCTTGCACAATTGCATTGAATGTGTAAGATGTCCCCCCTCTCCAATTAAATATGTAAATGTTCATATGCCTGTATATTAATCATATAATACTTTTACCTTTCAGATTAATCTCCTTAACTGGGATTCTGCTTTGTCTGTGATCAGTTAGGATTTATTTATTCTAAATTTCGACAAGTGTTACCAAGTTACTTGTGGTCTGGGCCATTATTTTTTAGTAAAGAAAAAGAAGTAGTTCCTGAAGAGTGACTGTAACACTTATAACGTTAGGTAACACTAAGTAACACTTATATTTTATGTCTTGACACACTAAATGGTCACTGACACAGTAAAAACATACATTTCTGTGAGGTAGACTGACAGATTGATACAGTAGGTTGTATAAAGTCAATATCACGTGTGATCGTGTTGGTTTTAGGAAAAACAACACTTTTGCTTGTGTGATAATTCATATATCATGTTATAAATATACAGTATATTTAACAAAAATGATTATTGGGACATTTCTTGCCTCATACTGTACCTTGAATACTTGTATCATTTTCTGTGATTGTGGTGTAGTTTCTGCCCCAAGCCCCATTCATTTGTGACTGGAAAACAACTACTAATTAAACAAATAGGTAAAGGTGGATCCATGGGCAGGACCTCAGTCTTGCCCACAAGCATCCTTGAAGAATTTGGACATTAACCACAAAATCACACGCTTGTAAATCACAAGGCTTTACAGTATGTGTTATTCCAAACTTTATTAAATAATAATAATTAGTGAAACCCATATGAAGCAATCACTACTCAGGTGTTACCTCGTCATGCCTCAGATACTACTAGGAATCTGGACTATTATTTTAAAGTAGAAAAATGTCAGTGGTCTAGATCACTAGTAGTTCCCGCAGAGTAACTAACTAGGTTTCAAACATTGTTCATAGGAATGCCAGTACATTTGTTTGGTGTATTGCTTGTTTTAATAAATGAACAAATGTAAAAGTAAAACATTTGGTGAATAAGTAGGTGAATTCAGTTTGATAGGGACACTTTTCCCAGTCATTTCAATTACTAAAATGTGTCCCAATCAACCTGAATTCAGAAATGACTAGAAATATCCAAACAACTTTGACAGATTTAATTTTATTTACTCAATTTACCGGGTCTTGAACATACAAATGAAGCTTATTTACATATGAAACACAATGGTCCTCATTTTCAGTGTATATAGCCTTCCTGAGCACACTGAAGTACAAGTTAATACACAAATGTTTACTAATATAAAATTGTTAAGGCAGCAACATATTGACAGGCTTATCCATCTATAACTTCAGCCAAAAATGTACCGGTTTCAAGATCACAGTCAAAATGCAGTACATAAGGCAAGGATGTAACAGTAAAAAACATCAGAAAACTGTAAGCATTCAGCTAAAAAAGTAACTTTTAACTTACAAAGTCAAGACACAAGGCAAAGTTATTTAAATAGCACACTTCATACACACTAGTAATTAAAAGCACTTAACATACAAGTAAAAAAAGGAAAAAGAAAGAAAGAAAAAAGAAATTATTTACATTTTTAACATTGTATTTTTTTTCTTACAAGGTAGAAACTGAATCCATGATTACATGTGATTGTCTTATCAGTACAAATGTTGCTAATAACATCAAAACATCTAACACTTCTAAAAATAAATGGATAAATAATAAAATAAAGATGGATATTCATGAAATGTCTTGTGCCCAGGTACGCAGTTTATAGGCACTGTTGTTTTGAGGCTATTAAGGAAATGTTACTCACACAAACATTGTTTTGTGAACCTCAATGTTCAGCAAATATGATGCTATGCAAACTAAACATATTTCCGAAAAGTCAAGCCAATGGTGATTCATGTTTTACTAGTTATTGTTGTTTTCCCTTGGAAACTCTTATCAGTTCAAGCAAGGTTATTTGTTGTGGCTTCAAGCTACTATGAGACCTTCCACTGACCTTCTCTCTTTTATTCACAGATATGACACGCATGAAAGAATAATGGAAGTGTGCCGCTTCCTGCAAAAACAACTGTACAATATATAGGCTTACGACTAGAGATGCACCGATTGCAATTTTCTTGGCCGATTCCGATTTCCAATTTTTTCGTTAGTGTGATCTGTCGATATCGATTTTTGCCGATTCCGATTTTCTTTCTAAGAACTATAATTGACAGCAATATACAAACAAAAATCGACTATTCTTCAATGCAAAGTTTTATTTTCATAAAAAAACTAGTAAAAATTGCAAACAACAGCACAAATAAATGCAATAGAATAAAGAGAGCTATGAAACTACGTTTTTCAGGTTAAGTAAGTTTTCATTCAGGTAAGAAATACTACAGAAATTAAAGTAATCAAATGTAAAATAACACATCCAGTGTTATTTTACATTTGATTACTTTAATTTCTGTAGTATTTCTTACCTGAATAAAAACTTACTTAAC